TTCACAATCAACCAGTAAACATAAATAATTTTTTGCATGTGGTTTATTTGTAGATAAGAGAAAAAAAAAACAAAAGAAGGGGAGGGAAGCTGGAGAACCCTTATGCATCGACAGTCCATGGATTTTTATTTCAACTCCATCTTTAATGTAATAACTGATGACGATGACGCTTCGAGCATGAACCCTAGTTGGATCTCGTTCTAACCAAAAACCCTAACTAGAATCAATCAGTAGAGATCCGACATGGTAGTGGTGGCAGAGAGAGGTTTCAAATAGGAATCTTAAGCAGAGAGGAGATAAGAGAAGATTATAGATAAGAAAGATCATCTGGTCAATGCTGGGATGAAGTCTCTCGCTAGAGGAGTGGTCATCAAAAAAGTGGGTGAGAAGTAAAAGGAGAACCGAGTGAAAGAAGAACCAGGTGAGGGTGAATGGGGATAAAGTGAGGAGTTTTTTTTTTCTTTTTGATTTAAAAATGATAATAAAAAATAATGGCAAATTAAAAAAAATACATAAACGGCATAATAGTCTTTTTATGTCATTCAGGGACCAACAATGCAACAAAACCAAAAGAAAGGGATCATCCCAGTTAAAAAAAATTATTAGGGACCATCCATGTAGATTACCCTAAACCATAGGGACAATCCATGTAATTTACCCTGAATATTGTTTTCAAATTTGAAATTTAGCATCATCAAAATGCAAAAATGATGGACGATCTATGTCATCATTATTGTCATTCAATAATAAGAGAGTTTTAATTTTTATGTTCAACTACTCAAATAACTACTACAAAGATACACTTTAATTATACGCAATGCGTGTTGTAAAAGCCATAGATGACACACAAATGCATGTCAAGGAAGGCCCTATCATAAAGGAAGACGACACACTTTTGAGCGTCGTAAATTTACAACACACATTGCGTGGCATTGCAGCCTATGTCATAAAGGAAGATGACACATATTTGCATGTCATAACCTTACGACACACATTCACGACTCGCATTGCGTATCATTAAAGTCCTTGTAAAAAATGAAGATGACAAGCATTTGCATGTCATAAACTTTAGCAGACAAATTACGATATAGATTACAATGTGCATTTACAGTACACATTTACAACATGCATTTACGCATAATACAAAAAACAAATATATATACCAAAACATACAATTTCATCTAAATGTCAAACAAGTTAACAAAAACATTGTACAACAGTACATGTCAAAAGAGGATGTTACCTAACATTTCATAAAGTTAACAAAAACATTGTACACCACATGTCAAAAGACGTTTCTACCTAATATTTCACTGTTATCAAAAAATATTGTTTGTGGATACAAATATCACCGATAAATGAAGCTTGTAACAAAAGATGACCATCCTTCATGGATTGCATCGATATCATCATCTATGTAGTGAACTTTTCCACCCCGGACCTGAGAAAAAAAATTATATATAATGTTTTGATTAAAATATGATCATTTCTTTAACAATGAGTAATATGCTATATTCTCTTTTCTTATTCGAGCATTGTATTTTAAAATAAATGAAAGTACGTTTCTATTTTTGCATATAACCATAAAATGATCCTTTTTTCAATACCGTCATTTCCTATTAAATTAAAGTAGTGAAAGTAGAATGTTGTCTCCTTACATTGTCTTTGACCAACACTTCAATCCCTTCCTCAAATATCTCCTTCATGAACTTTAACATGTAGTAACCACATTTGGTACCTCCAGGTTGAACTGGACACTACACAATTAGATATAAATGATCATTACAACATATCTGGTAAAAGATATGGTATGACCTTTCACTTCCTCACAGTTGAGATATTGTTGACTGGTAAAAAAAGTCAAAATTACTTCAATCTTGTTTTTTCAATTTGATGATAAAATCTTAAAAATAATAAAAAGAATAAGTATGTTTTTAAGAAGAATTGTTGATGTTTAAGCATGAACATTTAAAACCTCTTAGTAAAACTGATATAGAAGAAATCAACTATAAAAAGTAACTATTGCTTACCAGTATGAATATAAGCCCATAAATTATCCCTTCTTAATTATAATGAATATCAACTAGTTTCCCCTGCACTACAATTAAAAAAATCAAGTACCTTTTCAAGGAGATATCAAAATCATAATCATTAAAAAAAGTTAAAAAAACCACAAATTGGCTAGAAGTTTTATTCTTGGATGTTTTTTCATTCCCAAATGCTTCCAATATACAACGAGTTTTACTTATTTTAACTGCATTTTACTATTCCCACCTTCTATCAAATACTCCATATCTAAACTTTTTGTTACACTTTTTCCAGCTCCACTTCATTGTTGCGCCCACTTCCAAAAATGAAGTAAAAGGGATTCAGTGGTACTGAAATACAAATGCCATTTATGAACTTGATCAACTTTAGGAAGGAAACCAATGATGACACATGCATACTTTATAAGTATATGTGTAAGATGAAATGATGAAGAATAAAATATTGACCAAGGCCAGGTTAGACATGTTGGGTTAATCCAGAAACATAGGACAATTTTAGTTCAGGGGCATTTTAGGAAGTTATTTTATTTAATTTCTTTTCTTGTAGTTTTAGATTTTGATTCAAATACCATTTGTTTTATATAAAATCAAAGCTTTTATATAAAGCAGTTGAGGATGTTAAATATATTCCTGGGGACTTCCAAATTGTTCAATTTTAAATTTTACCAATATAATGGGACCATATTAGCAATTAAATATATTTAAAATTACCCTAAACTATCATAAACCAAATTAACCAACCATCTTTATTCACTAAAATAACGGAAGAAAATGAAAGGATACATGCATAAATGAGGAAGGGAGATTTAGGAAAAGAACCTGTGATACTGAAACATGAATTTGGCGCCATTTTTGCTGGATAGTGGCTGGATCAAGCATAGGTTTAGCATTTAGTTTCAATGATGGGGGAAGAGCATGAGCATGAGAAGGAGCAACAGATAATCCGAGCCCAAATATGTCATCAATGGAGGTATGCTGTTGAGGTTGAGCATATGTTTGATGATCTAAGGATAGAAGTTGAGCTTGTGTTTGAGTTTGAGGGAGATATAATTAGACAAAGAGTAGTTTTCATATGAAGAATCATGAGCCCCACTTTCTTCTTTCTCGGTGCTACTTGTGTTTCTACAGTTACATTACCAAATTAACCATGAAAATAATTTTCCTATTTCCCATAATACCCTTGCTGCAGGTATGTGCAATTCAATCTAAATTAGCTTATTTTGTTAGCTTGATTATCGATGGTCTCTTTCTCTTCCTTATCGGTGACAAGAAAGTACCCTCAATCAACTTATTGATATGCCTGTTAAAAAGTATATAAATCAAAAATTGAAAGTCTGTACAAATAAAAAAGAATATGATTCTTTAAAACTCAGGACGGATGCATGGATTGTTAATGAACCAATTTGGTGGTTTTGGTGCGACGTTTATGGTGACAGAGGTGAGTGGCCAACGGTGGTATTCGTGGTGAAGATGAAGACAACAACGCTGGAGTGTTGATTGGAGTGGAGGCGGGTTTCTTGAGCCTAGAGAGAGATGGGAACGTATTATGTAGAAAGAATATGCGTAATCAATATTTAGGGTTTAGAAGAATCATATGTGATTTATAGTGTGATGTGTATGATCTATATGCTATGTGATTGGTCAAAATTCATTCACAAGGATCACTATTATCTTTTAATCACAACAGGTTAAAATTTAACATTTGTTTTTAAGACTTGGTCTTAAAACTTTTCATCTTATTTTATATATATAAGTGGACACATTGAGTACTACTTGGTTTGAATATGTAACTACTAGTTAAGCATTGAGTGAAAGAAACACTTTGTGTCACCTTTTTCTTCACAAGCCGTTAGCTCCAAGGAGCATTTCTAGAAAGTGTGTTCGAAATATTTATTCATTTCATCCATGCTTGTAAGAAATGTTTTTTTTTTCTCAGTTGTCTTAACTTTTGTGTACACTTGGATGCAAATAAGGAAGGATAACTAGCTTGAAAAAGTTAATCTTTGGCTCACTCTTTTCTTCTTACTTGGGCTGCCAAATGTTGTAAGCATTCCCTCCTCCCTCTCTTCTTCTATCTTGAAATTTGGTAATGAAGGCTTGGTGTTTTGCTTCTCTTTAATCGTATTTTGGGATATGTCTTAAATCTTAATTACAACATATTACGAGTGAATACTAACATCTACTAGTGGTTGTAATGTTGCTTTGGTTAATACATTACAAAGGACTTCTTCTTGGAATTTTAATGTCATCTTCATCCCTTTCCTAATTGCAAATATGAATCAAAGTCTTCAAATGTAGTAAACTTCTTCTTCCCTTTGGTTATGTTTTAATATTTATAAGTCTTTCAAAATGATTCTTAGCGGGTTAAAATAATTTTAATGTATTCAAATTATAAAATGTTTCTATTGTTAATTAGGTCAAATTTGTCACTAAAATAACATTGCTTTTTAACAAAAAAAAAAAAAACACAACAATTGGTATCAAAGCCATTTTTAGATGATTGGTTAGATTATTCGATAAGTTGATATTATCTTTGTTTTTGGAAAACATAAATGGTTTTCCTTTTTTAAGAAAACCTATATATATATTTTTCATGAAACCTTCAAATGTTTATAATTGTTATTTTCATGACTAGAAGTTTCTATGCATCCTTTTAATCATAAAATTTGTTTTAGATAAAGAAAGTGTTTATATATATTTTTACTATATTATTAAGCATATTGCCTCTTTCTTGAAAATTAAGAGGTACAATACCTATTACTACATGTACAATAATATTAAGCTTATAATTGTATAGGTATCCACGATATTACTTATCGTATAGGTATACACGGTGTTACCAAATCAAAGATGTTACCCTAATCTGCTATAAACACAACACTACACACACACCGCCATCGGAATGAAATCGAAACCCTCTTCCTTCTGTCTCTCTCTTGCCGTCGTTGCTGAATGTCTCAGCGCCTCCACTGTCCCCACCTGACCTCAGATGGTACGCCACAGGATCTTCGAAGGAGCACAGAAGTGAATGGGACCATGATACGGCTTGGTATTCATATGCTTACGGAGATAATGAAGGTACTTCACCGGAGAGGCAGATCTCTTCAGTACGCACGACGGTGACCCGCTAAACATTGAGAAGCTCCTTGGACCGAGCATATGGTGGCAAGAGGCCACCACTACCTCCTTCGAAGATCCTGATCCACGTCACCTGCCAAGCTTCCGCCTATGTCGTCGGAGTATCCGGATGGTTCACCGGACTGAAATTAGGCAGCGACTCCGTCGGAATCGAATACAACACTCACCACAACATCGGAATCACACTTTTTTCCATAGGAACCATTAAGGTATGCAAAAATCGATCACATTTTTCATAATTTCTTGTCGATCTTCTGTAAAATTGAAACTGATGTTGTTGGTATGGGGGATCATTTCGTCTTTTTGGGGGATCAGACTGGTTTTCAAGTGATTGATGTGGAAGATTCATTTGATTTTATTGAGCTTGTTTCAAAGCGTGATGGCCCTGTCACTTTCCTACAGTTGCTGCATATTCCTGCAAACCCTGATGGCAATGAGAAGTTCCTATCATTACATCTGTTGCTAATAGTGGTTGCAAGTGATGAAGCCACCGGGTCCACCATGGGTCAAAACCGATGCTATTTGAGTCCAACTGGCAGGGATGGTTCAGTTGTGTCTCATCAGTTTCACTGGTTCCCTGGTTAATTCTTTGTTGTTTATAATTTCACAATCTATACATATTTTATATATAATTTTACTTGACTGAAGTGTTGCAGGTTTGTGGAAAGGTGGAGACTAGATACTCATTATTGGTAAACAGGGGATCCACTGTGTAGGATTCTGGATATGCGAATGTAGTTGTGGGGCTTCAGTTCCTTCCTTGGATCATTTGATGTTCCTTTTTTATCCTTCTTTTCTCCTGATGTTTCAATACACCTATGATTAAATACACATGGGATCTCATTGTTTATTTATTTAATTAGAAGGTAAGACAAGGGCTGGAATCTTTCAAGTAAATTATGCCCTTGTAAAGGTACTGTTTTAAATTTTCATTGGCGTAGTTTCTTATCATTTATACTTACTTCTGAAAGCTACTCTACACAAACTGCAAAATGCAGGGCCTTTGTCCATATTATTAAACAAATTAAGTAGTTGGAATGAGTTTTATGAATGGAGAGGCATCCCTATATAGCAATGCACTGCCTCTTCCACCCTTAATAGCAATGTGAGTAAAAGGAGGGGTAATATAGGCATTTTTTTTCTCTTAATTCATCACAAATCGATTAACAATTCATAGTTAACAGTTTTCACAATTTTACTTTTGTATTTAGTTTTATGTTTGTGTCAATGATCTTCTAATGGAGTAGTACTTTTACTACTTTAGACTTGACAGCTTACGAAAAAGGGTAAACATCAAAGATGGAATTAAGTCAATGAAGGAATGGAATGCTTTATTCCATTGGAATGAATAAAAACTTTGTGTTTTGTGTGATGGAATGGAATGAAACGTGTTTAAAGGAATGTGATTATTGAATTGAATCAAAAGTTGCAATATAACCCATATTATTTATATACTTTCAATGACACAACTTTTTTCTTAAGTTTCATGATTTTTAACAAATGACCGTTTATAGTTAATAACAACAAGAAAATATAATCACAGAGATAAAAATAAATGGGAAGGTAGTGTTACAAAAGAACACTTATTCTGTGAAATTTGCTTTTCAGTTTTTTTTCATCAAGAAAATTAACCATTTAATTATAATATAAAATTTCAAGAAGCTTTGTGCTAAAACTGCTGCTGCTAGAGGATGTAATGCTGCTTGGAAAGGAGGAAAACATGTACAGTCAACTGGTTTGATCCCTGCAAGTCCAAAAAGTAGGCTTCAATGAAAATTTACAAATTTACTCTTCTGATCTTAAATGAGCCTAACTAGCTTACTCGACATTACTACAGACAAAAACCGATCTCCCACAGGCCACAACTTTGGATGAAAACAGTCAACCTTCTGGTTAATACTCAGCTATTGACTATTCATCACCACAACTAGAGTCTCTAAGGGTTACAGAAATTGAAAATATATAGTCAGGTAGATAAAATTACATAGTTTAGAATGTTTTTAATGAATCACAAGTTAACAGAAACTTTACCTTTCTCTTCATATTATGTTTATATTTTGTTTGAGTTTCAATACTTATTTCATGTTGTCAGGTTCTTGACAAACTAGAAAATAGCTCTCACACTGTTAAGGGTGTCAAGTTAATTGGTCAAGATAACAAAGCACTATCAGTTATCTTGTTGCCTCTCAAAAACATGGTGTACAGGTGAAAATTTATGTTTTTTTAACTGTAAATGATGTTTTTGATCATGTACTTTGTTTTTTGGGTTGTTTTTATGAGTTACAAAATTGTGCAAGGATCAAGATGTTGTCAATTTAAACAAGTCCCTGAGAATTATTTCAAGCTTCGTTGATGCAGCTGCTTTTAACTCTACCGGGGTGCTTGATGAAATATTTTGGGAACTTGTAGCCTTCACTTCCAATCTTCTTCATATAAAAGACTCTGATTACAATGACTTGTTGAATAAGGTACTTTATTGTTTATTATTATAAAGTGCAAAAATAAGTATGCATTTGTTCAAAAAACTAGGATTTTGGAAGATTAATTGTGTTTGTAATATACATGTTTTTTTGCAATGTTTCTCAGTTATTAAAAAGCTATTGGATAACTATGGTGGTTGTTTTTTGGATTCTTATATCAGGCATTGGGTTGCTATAGTGGCAGAGAGAAGACAATAGGCAGTGTCAAAAAAGAAGAATGCACTTAAATGTGATTGGTAAGTAATTTTATAGGTTCATGAATTACTTTAAGCCTGATTCCATTGTCAACTTTGTATGTTTAAAATGATAATTTGATTCTTCAGGTGGTCTCTTGGGGCGATTATGTTTGAAATGCTTGTAGAGTATCCACCTTTCTACTCTAATGATCCAATGTCAACTTGCAGGAAGGTAGATCATTTGAAATCAATTTTAAGTATTTAGGATAAATATATTATTTATGGGTGCTAATTTATGGGTACGAATATTTTTCAGGGTCTGCACCTGTTACTGTTGTGCAGTTTCTATGGGTGAACTTGATCATGGACACTTGCGGTGCATTCGCTCTAGCCATTGAACCGCCAAATGACGGACTCATGAATAGACTTGATTGTGATTTCTATTTGGATAATACTGCATAGGCTTTAGGTTCCATCAACAAGTTGATTTTAAGATCAATAAAAAAAGTAAGCTCGTGTCCGATGATGGTACTGTAGGGTTTAGCCTCTAGCCTCTAGGAAATGTTTTATTCGCATCTGTTGTGGCAAGATGTCACATCACGAGGTGAAAGCTTGCATTTATATTACAACAATGTTATTAAATCAAATCGATAAAAATATGAAACAGTCAAAGAAAATAAAACGTCTCCTTATATCTCGATATCCCCAAATTTTAGGTGGAATTTAAAAGACTCATACTAATTAAAGAACCTTAAATTTGGGAGTTTGTTACTTTGCAGCTTCAGCTTTTATATAAAAACCAACGTCACCTAATGTGTTGCTCCTCACCCTTTCCATCTCTTTCATCAACTAACATAAACACCACTACCACCACCCTTTTCCTTCTCTCTTCCTTAGCAGATGGCCTTCACCACCATACAAGTTTGTCTCCACCACCACTCTCCGACATCAAATTCCTACCTTAAAATTGATGAATCAAATATAAGGTTCCATGCTCCCACCTGATTAAACAATCCCACAACTACTCACGATTTGTCTCACCCCTTCACACCCAAGAACAAGTCCCTAATTCAAATCACCATCTCCACAACCTTTTGCTTAAAATATGGGAGACTCATTCAAATCCTTTTTTTCTATAAAATTATTTAATAATGCAATATTAAAAAATTAAAGCGGCAGAAGGAAGACATCAATAGTTCCAAAAAGTGTCATTCATCTCAGCGTAATTGAAGATGAAGAATTCAGTCAAACCACCATCACCACGGTTCATGACAACTAATAAAAACTGTATATGAAGAGTTTGGTCAAAGAGAGTTTCTTTCGCTAAGGACATTGACTTTTTAAGGTTAATCGGGTAAGGTTAGGTTGTTTTTCTATCGATGGTAGATTTTTTGGTATTTTACAAAATAATGCTTTTATTATTTCTAATTATTGAAGATTTTCTTTCAATTTTAGGTTCTTTTTACTTATGTCGGTTTGATTTTGTTAATTGGTACAATGAAAATTTTGTACATAGATGGAATTTTATATATTTAGACCTTGAATCCTATATTTTCGTTATGCTTTATGTAGATAGGTAGATATGAGATTAGGGGTTCCATTTTTTCCCTTATTTTCCATGTTGTTCTCTATCTAGGGTTTCACTTTTTCTTAATTTTGTAATTTGGGATTGTAGAACACCAGCAAAGTGCTTACATTATCTCAGTTTCTCCTTATCTACATGAACTTTTCTTACCGGAAAAGAAGGTAGCAAAGTAAATGCATTCTTCAGCTGTTTTCTTTTTTGAGTTTTATACTGATTTGTGTTTCATTTAAATGGTAGTACCAAATGCTCCTATTAAATTTTTTATGATCAGGGCTAGGTTGTTGGATTAGTGGTTTTTCAGTATATGGGATGAGGGTTAAAATTTGAACAAAATCATGTATTTCAGGTTCAACATCCTATCTCTCATAATTTTGAATGTATTTTTTTGAATTTGACATTTTATACAACTCAAGGTTGTACATTTTGAGTTCTTTTTAAGATGCATGGGTGAAGGGGGGTCAAAGTAAGAAAAGAACGCGAACAATTTTTTGTTTTTTTGATTTTAACCCATTCTTTTATTTTTCCTTTCTGATTTGCGATTTTCCAAAAAGAGCAGGAATAATTTCTGCCTTCTCTGCGTATATTTGGTTTTCCAATGAGAATATAAACAATCTTCGTGTGTTTATTTAGGTTATTACATGATAAGCAATGCTATGTTAATTGTATTGTGATTTTTGGTTTATATCTAATCACTGTTTCCACCCCTAGCTCTTTTTAAGGAACACGTGTGTGTTAGAAAATTCATGGGAATATCCGGTAAAAAGGAACTCTCTACTTTTTAAAACCGATAATCAACATGCTTCAAACTACATATCTATGAAATTTTACAAAACCGATAATCAATAAGCTTTAAACTAAAAACTATAAGCTTCTATTTCAGTCCAGTTTTAGTTTAGTGTAAATCTCAAATGAAGCTTTTAATATGTGAATATTTAGTTCTTACATTCCTTTTCATGTCATGTTTTGATGTCTACAATTACATATTAGGTTTAAAGAGCTTTCCTAATCCATGTGTATATGTATTATGTCACTACATGGTTTCTGTATGAAATAGACCGATTCTCATTAATTTGAGTGAATATATGTAGCGCTCCGATTCTCAGGTATTGTCCGATTGTAGTTTCTTGGTTTGGCCCTACTCGACGAGTTGGTTGCCCTACTCGTCGAGTAGCAGCGAGATTGAATTGCAACTTAAGTGACTAACTCGGCGAGTAGGAGCTGGCAAAAGAAACCCTAAGTCCCGGGGTCTACACTCTATTTAAGGAGGCTTAAGCCCTATTTAGCCTCCTTACAGTCAGATAGAACTCAAAAGAAAACCCTAACCAAGTATTTGTGCCATTAGTGTCTTGAAAGCTTGAAAGGAGAACTTGTGGAAGGAAGAACCTGGAGAAGAAAAGAACAAGAAGCAAAGGACTAGAAGCAAGGGAGGAGTGTAACCCGAAATCTACCTCAGCTAGCACTCGTAGAAGGTACCAAGTCGACACCTTTATCCGTTTTCCCTTCTATATCTCATATAGTGGAAAACTAGGGTTTTGAGGTGTAAGTAAGGTGATATTGCAAAACATAAGCTAGATCTGAAGTTGTAACTTTAGATCTGGACCATTCCCAAGTTCTAGATCCATAAAGTTCCTGTCTTGGATGTGAATGAGGCCTTCCTTGTGCATGAAACCCATTAAGAGCTTTGTTTTGGAAATTAAGGACCCTTTTAGCCATGTATACACGTAAAGTTTGCAACTTTAATTGAAAGGCATGCCCTGGAAGCTTGGATCTAAGGTTTGGAGTCGTTGCATGGCTTAAAACGGATCTGTATGGCTTAAGGACTAAAGGAACTCGGCGAGTCGCAAGAACGACTCGGCGAGTCGGATGAATATAGTCGTGAACTCGACAAGTTGGTAGAATAACTCGGCGAGTCCGATGAAGGTTGCCTTAGCCTCGACGAGTTGCATGAGCAACTTGGCGAGTCGGCTGAGTTTCCTCCAAGCTAGGGATGCGTGTGTATCAACGTTTTACTAGAAGAGAAACACGGCGAGTGGCTCTAGGGCCTCAATCGAGAATCATGGGAACTCGGCGAGTCACGCCGGTGACTCGATGAGTAGGTAAAAGTTTCGAGGAACTCGGCGAGCAGTCGGGGGTACTCGATGAGTTAAGGTCAACATAGACTGTTGACCTTGACTAAGTACTTTGACCTTGATCAGGCTTAACTAGTTGGGTTATGGAGTACTCTATGAGGACAGAGATTTATGAGCGTAATCGTATTATGGTAATAGGTGGTGGAGTCTTTGACAAGTGATCGGAGAGCTGTGATTATTTACCGAGCTAACATCTACAAGGTGAGTTATCCTCACTATACTAAGGGGTCCAAGGCACCAAGGCCGACCCATTTGATTTGATATCCTAGTAGTCATTGATATGCTGAGTTGAGTTAGTAATGTATGCTAGTTGATATGCTAGTCGGGTAGATCTGTAGGATTACCTGTGATATTGATTATTTACCTGTATGTGCATTTATCTGTTACATGTCGACATGTTATGTGGGGTGGGTTGAGGTTGTACTGCTCCGTGCGGTAGCCAACAAACCCGAGAGTATTCCAGAGATGAGCTGAGGGCCCGGCAGGCATTCCAGACTCGTACCGAGGGCTCGATGGCATTCCAGATACGAGCTGAGGGCTCGGTAGGCATTCTAGACTCATACTGAGGGCCCAGGGGTAGTCCAGCTTGTAAAGTTGTGGACCTATTGCATGTTGTTCTGTTTTGATTGGTATGATATGCTAATGTTGATATTGCTATGTGAACTGTATGTGTATCGGTATTTTGGGGTAACTCACTAAGCTTTCGGGCTTACAGTTTCAGTTTATTGTTTCAGGTACATCAGGGGATCGCGGCAAGGCCAAGGTGTGATCGTACAGCTCCTCTTATTATGTTATTTTTGGGGGCAAAACTCTGATAAACAATGTTTTGAAAAGAAAGTTGTAATATTTTGATGAACTTGATATGTTTTTAAAAGTTTAAATTTGTTTGAAATTTTGGATGTTACAAGTTGGTATCAGAGCCTCAGTTTTAGTGAATTGGAGGAACATTCGTGTGAATCCAGTCTCAATCAAGGAACGTTTTTCAAAAATGATTTAATAAATCAGTTTTCAAAATAAATCAGGAGGATGCAAGATGTACGATCAGCCAGAGCCAGTAAGCAAACCCCAAAATACCATACAGTTGTTTGATTATGTAACATATTAGAACATCATGCTAGTACTAGGCTAAGGATCTTTAGGAATTGCTTGAATGAATTACCTGATTGCGTGGTGCCTGCTAGCCTAGGGTTTCCTTTACATGAAATTGACATCATTATTGTAGTGATTTAGTGTATGTACCACAGTTGTACATAATTAAGACCTTATAGCCTGAGAATGTATGATTTAACCTTATGTTCTGTTCTTGTTTGATTGGGAGCTCAGGGTAGGATTGAATATTAAAAAGTCTATCGGGTCCAACATTATGTATGGCTATCATGCACTAGTGCTGCAGGGTTGGTGGAAGTTTCGTGAGTGGGTAGGTGTTGGGATAAGTCCGCCGATTTCGAGTCGTCTAGTATTCCTTAGGAATCGGACTTGAGTGCTCGATGTAATTATATGTATTGTTAGGGCGTTGTGGTAATACTTGGAACAAATATGGGTAGGTGTGGAAGGTAGTATGGGCCCGTACTACTGAAAGCACATGACCCATACGCGTGACAAGGAAGTCACAACTCCCACGGTTTTATTGGGGGTTGGTCCCTAGTTGTTGTAAACGTTATATAATGCCTCATGTTGTGTTTCAGAATGGTGATGACTAGGCGCTTTGTGACTGGATCCGGGTCAGGATTAGGAGAGGGCGGACCGGG